TTGTCCTTTCTTATTTTTTTTATTATGTTTTCACATCCTGCAACACTGGCCTTTGTCTTATACGAGCATGGTGAGTATTTAAGCACACTCAATTTTGAAGAGGATACCAAGCGCATCATGCTCGTTATTGTTTCATCAACTAACAATTATTATTTTTTAGTGACCCAGTTTGGTCAAATAGGTTTTTAGAGACTGAATCATATTCACTCTTTAAGTATTTTTGTCTTTCACTACAAATTAAAATTACAACATTTGTTATTAATCCAAAATTGTTGTAATTTTTATGTTGAAATTTCTCTTAACTATGTGTTATCTACAACAGTTCAACGAAGAGAATTAAGGGTATATTTGGTTTCAAAAAATACTTCTTGTTTTCATTTTTAGAAAATATTTTTTATTTTAAAAAATAGAAAACATTGAGAATGTATTTCGTTTAACTATTATAATTTTTTGATATAAAATTTAAAATTAATCATTAATATTTTATTAATAAAAATATTTTATAATAAAAATTTTACAATATATATTCTTATTAATGTCAATTTTATTGTATTGTCTATTTAACAAATTTAAAAAATACAACTATTATTGTGTTTTAAGACTCAAAAATAATACAAATATACTAACATAGATTGGTTTGAGTGGCAAACGGCTCAATATCAATTAAATAAGGTCTCAAGTTTAAGTCTTTATGTATAAAAAAAATTTTTAGTGGTCCAATCTGATTGAAAACAAAAAAAAATAATAATAATTCAAACACAATATAAATATAATTATAATTTATATTATGTACAATACACAAGTTTTTTAATAAAATTTTATTAATTTTGTATATATTCATAAATTTTAAAAAAAATTAAAAAGTGTATATTCTTTTCAATTCTAATAATGCACATGTATATATTGACATTTAAAAAATTATTATTAAAATATAAATATATAAATTTTTTAAATAACAAATAAAGTGTAATAATAAAAAATATATAATATAAATTATTAAAATTTTTATAAATAAAATATAAAAAATGTAAAAATAGTATAATATATAAATAAATATTTTTTAATATTAAAAAAATAGCATATATACAATCGACAAAATTATTATTTCTACAAGATTTGTATGTAATCATATTATATAGAAATTGAACATTAGTCTGAGAAAGAATATAACATCAAAACCATATATGAAAATTAAAAATCTTATATGTATTGATATGAAAAATAACAATGTGTATCAAAATTTTAATAACAAAAATTATATGAAAATTATAAAAGAATAAAGACAAAAAAGAAATTACATACCCAATTTTACAAGAATTATAAAAATAAAAAATTTATCATTGTATTTTAATAAAAAAATATTATGGGAGAAAAGAAAAAACAAACTTGAAGAATATATGATTAAGAACGCTCAAAATATAATATTATGGGAGAAAAGACTTTTCCTTACGTAGTATGGATGCTGTTTTTTCTGTGAAGCTGACCCAAAGCAAATATGACTTTCATTAACGAGGGGCCAAAAATCCACACATGACTTTTGCACTTTGTTTACTTAAAACGGGAGAAAAATTAAGATGTATTGAAAAGTTTGAAAAATAAAATTATTAAATAACAAAGTAAATTATAACTCTCATACAACTCTGTTTTTATGGTTTAGACTATTCTTTAATGTGGAGATCACTTTTGCCTTCTTGTCAAAATTCAGCTTCCAATCATAAGTCATAATTGCTTATTCATGATAAAGTTTCTAGTAGTGAGAACTGAATTTCAACAATGAAGTTATACTTTTTATTTACAACTTATTTTATTTGATCCTTTCAATTATTATTTTTTAACTATTTTTACATTTAAAACATTTAAATTAAATATTAGCAAAAAATTCATATTTTTATACAACTATATATTTAAAAAATAATAAAAGTAAAACTATAACTGTTTTATAAAATATAGGAAGTATACTTTTCATGTATAACTTTCTATTTATTAAAAAAAAAAAAGCCGAACATAGGAGAATCAATATTAGTCTTTATACAAAACTTTTTTCGTAATTTAGTTTCATAAGTAAAAAAAAAAATTATATACACGTCATTATACAAAATTTTATGTTAAATTTTGTTTATATCATTACAGTAACATTTTCTAATAATATTTAAAAGATATTTTAAATTGTTCAAAAAATTTTCATGTTCCATTTCATACTTTTTAAATTTATGCGTCAAATTTTATCATACAAGTTAATATATATTTACTTTAAACTCATATAAGCATCATTTTTAAAAGATTTCTTGTCTTAATTTATCTTTACATAATCATTATTTATAATATTTCATCTCAAATATCACTATTATCATATTTTCATAATAACTTTTGTTTCTTATTTTATTATCTTATTTCAATGCTATTTTTTCTCTAATTACAAATATAAATATAAATAATGATAATTTTGACTTTTAACACGATTTATGAAAATATAGTCAAGATTTACAATATTTAAGATAAGTATGATAGGAGAATGAATGAAAATTATGATGAGATATGATGAAGTATCCAACTAATGATAATTTATATAAAAATATTAGTAATAAAATTAATGTAAAGAAAAATAAAGACATGAAAGTGAACTAAAAAAAATACTACTTTTAATTTTTTTTATAAGAAACAAAAGACTAAATAATTAGGATTAATGAAAATAATTAAATTAGTTATATTTTCTATAAATATAAATTTTATTATAAGAATACCTATGATATTAAATGGTGTAGTTAGTAATTTGTATATTTAATGATACTAATAAAAGAATAGTATAAAAAAATTAACAATTAATACATCTTTAATATATCATTTGTATCTTATAATAAAGATTAAAAAATGCTTCATTATTTTTTTATAAAAAAGATTAAAAAGTAATATGAAATAAAATATAATTTATTTTAAAAATTTTGAAATACTCATAGAAAGATGATAAAAAAATGTAACTTGATACTAAGTAAATTTTTTTTCTATAATAATAGAAATAAAGTTAAAAATAAGATTGATGTACAATTTTATTTATTTATAAAAAATAAATTTAAAAAAAAGTTTATACACAAATTAAAAAATAATTTAAACCTATTCAATTAGATAGTTATTTGCATATAAAAAATGGCTATCGTGATTGTAATATACGGAAATAACAAGAATAAAATTAAAAATAAATTTTTAGTAGAGACTTGGTCACTTGGGTACAAATCTTTTCCCATTTATTTATATTTTTTTACAGATCATTGATTATCATAACGTACAAATCTCGTGAAGAAAGAAAAACACAAATTCTGACTGAGCATTTATTTCTTTAGCAATGAACCAACTACCAACTGAAAAATAATGAATGTCTGAATAAAGTGAGCTTCTTTTATTATGGTCAATCTTCGCGCTACATCTACACAACGTAAATCACACATTTGGATGAAGTGTATATATATAACATCTTTAAAAAAAATTTATTTACCACATTTAATATTATTTTATAAAAAAATATTAATCAATTCAACCGTTCATTTAAATGTTTTTACTAAATTTTGCATAACATATCTACTATTATTCAATATATATATATATATATATATATAATTGAACTATTCATATAATATTTAAAAATATAAAATATAAAAAAAATTTACAAAATAAACGTATCCTTATTTTCTAAAATCTTAAAATAAAATACATTAATTATTTTGAAACATCTCATATAGTAAAAAGTAGTCATGTAAAGTCATTTTTCATTGAATTTTAAACAGAATAAAACTTTAAAAAAGTATTATATCGCCAAAAAGCATACGAAGTTACTGTTTTAGATGCATGATTGATAAATTAAAAGAAAACACTATGTTATTAAAATAAGAACTTGGCTCTCATAAAGGAAATCATGCAATTTAAAAAATTTCAATATAAATAATATTTATTTTTTTAAAATTTCTTACAAAATTGAGAGATATAAATACATTTATTACATCGCTTAATCCAAAATAAATGTGAATATATTTTTTTTCATGTGATTAATCCTATAATTTTAAAGAGTTTGTGAAATACTATTTTTTAAACTGTTGTAATTAGAAAAATAATTTCATGAGAATTAATCCTAATTTATTTAAATTTAAAGTTAAGTTTAATAATTGCATTTTAATATATTTTTTTATTACATATTTTTTCTATCTTTTCACTACTTTTTTATATAAAAAAATTAAACATGATATAAAAAAGTTGAATTTTATTAAAAAAAAAATATGATGTTGAAATCAAGAACATAACTTTTAAATACATAATTAAAAGTTTTAAATAAAAATGAATCTTCTATTTATTTAAGTGTCTAATAAGAATAATTATAAATAAAAATAAACTTTTTTTTTGTTGAAAAGTGTGACCACTATCTTAAGAGCTTGTCAAAAAATTCATTAATTTTATAAAATTAATTTTGAAGTTATTATATAATTTTAAACTGATACATATAATATTTTAAAAATAAAAAAATAGATGTCATATAATAATGTTTAATTACACGTGTTTATTTTTTTATTGATTTATCTATTTAATTAGTACTATAAATGTTTCTTATTTTTTAATTTTAATTAACGAGAAAATATAAAAATATTATAAATTTGACTTATTAAAGTAAAAAAATAAATTTTTATTATATTTTTCCTTTTCTTCAAATTTTATTATTTTTATTATATTTTGAGGTCAGTCCCTCTATTTCAAAACTATTGTATTTTAAAATTAAAAACAGATGAAAAAAATCATCAACTAACTTAAAATTTATTACACTTAACTAAATACATTTATTTAATCTCCTCTTATTTAACTTACTTACATAGAATGATTTATTAAATTAGTTATCTACAACATTATTAAATGAGAATATAACTATAGAAGTTAACAAAACTTTGAATTTTTAAAATAATAATTTTGAAATAAAAAAGAAAAAACACGTAGTTTCTGGGATGAAAGAAGTAACTCGTTTATCTCGTGCCAACCCCCATTGTTCTTTTATATGATGTCACAAAAAGGTTGAGAAAGAAATATAAACAACAGGAACAAAATATAAAAACATGATATCAATATTTAATAAAAAGTTGTTCAAATACAACAACCCTTAACATAAATTAAACAAAGCTTTCAAAAGCAAAGCCTACTAAAAGACTTTGGTCAATAGTACACATCTCATGCTCCTACTTCTACATAAAGTACTATTAAGTTCCATGGCTATATGTAAAAGGAGCTATGGAATATGGAAGCTTATAAGAGCATAACGTTACATCCAAAAACTAAGAACAAAGCCTATAACCATACTGATTATAACCCATTTTTTAGGGGATAGTTGGTATGAGGAAGAAGGGGGTGGCGGAGGAGTAACACAATTATCATAGCCGTACCATGTACCATTAGGGATGGACTCGTTGAAATTAAAAGTAACAGGCTCTGAGTCGTAGCCATAGATTTTCACACTGTCAGGCTTCCAACCATATTCAGCACCAGATCTATATAGGTACACAAAACAAATAGGAGAAGCACATTCACCATCTATCTGAAATGAATCTGAAGAACACTGCTCAAATGTTCCTGCAATTGGATTATCTAGTCTTGGTTCATACACCTGATATGATACCATGATATTCAATATCAAAACATCAAAAGGGCTTTGTTAGTTAACATAACAAGGGTAATAATAAAAAAGATTGTTTAAAAAGTAATTATCTTTTCATATTTACAGCAAACCAAACAAGTATATAAACTAGAGCAAGAATAGTAATAAAAATAACAATAAAACGAACACAAATAGAAAAAAAAGGTAAAATAAAGAAAATTTAGCACAAGGGTTTGTTTAAATTTCTTCCAGAAACAACATATTTAGTTCAAAACTGTATCTTGAACCCCTTAAACATACATCACAAGAGAGAAAGAAATAAATCTATAAATTTATTGAAGAAAAAGACAAAACCTGGTTGCCATAAGCATCTCCAAACGCAATACCAATCTTATCCGTTGTGAATTTAGGTGATGAACAACTCGTAGTAATGACTACCAGGTACGAACAGTTCGCAGCGGTTGTCATCTATTTCCACACCCACAAAAATAAATAAATCATTTCCTTTCATATTATGCACAAAAACAGCCCCAAAGGAAATTTGTGTTTTTTAATTTCTGAAAATAAAACAACAAACGGATTGCTATAAAAATGTTCATATACCAGTTAGTACCTGAATATAACCAACAGAGAAGGATTCAGCTGCGTGAGGTTGCACAGAAGCATATTTGGACTCTGAGAGTGAAAGGGTCACTCCATAGGCAAAGCAAAACAGAAGAAGAAGAAGAACGTTTTTTATCATTTTTTCTCTTTCAGAAACATCAACCAAAAATTCAAGAGAGTAATCTAATCCGATAAAATAGTCAAAGTTCAATCTTTTCTTGTTCTGCTTTCGGACAAGGCTAGTGGCTTATGATATTTATATGCATCACGGCACCACTTAAACGGCAAAAGGTGAAAACGTCGTCCAATGAAGTAAGGGTACATTCGACTTTGTGACTCGTTTTCCTCGTCCATGTCGTTCATATTTACCTGTTAATTTTTTACTGGCTGTACATTCCGTGCGTTGCACGAGTTTGAATATTAAAAGGTTGCAAAATGACAAAATAATTAAATTATGTTATGGTATGGGACCACGAAATTTAATATTAAAATAAAAACGGATTTCATGATAAACTTCAATCCCTAAATCACTTAGGCTGTTTGGGAGTTAGGTTTAGAAAGGAAAAAAAAAAAGAAAAAATTAATCTTATTTAAAAATTATTTAATTAAAAAAATAAGATTTTAAGAATTTTTTTAAACTTTCTAAAATCTTTTAAAAATTTGTTTTTTAAGTTTTTTTATTTTGAGAGTTTTTTATCTTCTATTCTTTCATATTATTTTACAAATATGATTTTTTTAACTTTTTTTTAATTGTTAGTTTTCAAGTGATAATTTTTTTAAAAAATTTAAAAATAAAAATATTAATTTTAAAATTATTTATATAATTAAACTCTATATTATTCTCTCTTCTCAATATTAAACATCCAAACAAAAGAGAGGTTTAACCACCTTCTTCCTCCTCTTTCTTTCCTCTCATTTCCTTCTTTCTCCTTTTAAATTTTTTCTTTTCTTTTCTCTCCAACCTCTCAAATAAAATCTTAAACAATGAAGAAAGAATAAAAGATAATTTTTTTAAAAATTATAATAAAATAATTAATATAAATTAATTAAGTGATATATTTATTAGAGTTTATTTTGTGTAAAATTACATAATTTAAAAAACCCTAAATAAAAAATATCAAGTTATTAAAAAAAAATTCTTATGATTTATTGTAATAAAATAAAATCTAAATGCGCAATGAAGTAGTTTTTTTTAATTAAAAATTATAAAATATATAAATTATCTAAAAAAATTAAAAACTACATCTTAAAAAACGAAGTATTTTATGATAACATGAAAAATACTATAGTACCTATAAATTTTTAAAATATTATGTATCTTTTTTTAAATTAATAATTGTAATTTCTCTAAAATATATTTCAAATTAAAATGTATTTATATTTTTAAAATAAAAAAATTATTATTTATTAATATAAAATTAATAATTATAATTATTTCACCCGTAAGAATGTATAAAATACAGTACATTCTAAAAATTAGCTTATTTTGATAGTTTGTGAGAAACGTCTTTTTCAACTAACGACTAAATTGCCACAACGCTAGTTATTAAATAGGTTAGCCAAATCCTGGATTCTTTCAAGTTCAGTTTGTTTAGCGTTAACGGGTTTTTGTATGAATTTTTTTATAATTTTAGTTATTTAAATTATGTTCTTCATTTTATAATTTTGTTTAATAATTAACAAAAATATAATAATATGCAAAGCATTGTTATTTTATACAAAGTTACAAAAAAAATTAAATGAAAATAAAAAATACTTTTATAATACTTATGTATTTTATTTAATATTTCTATTTAAGTATTTTATATTTTTATTTGTTGTATATAAATATGTAATTATACTTTAATTCAATTGTAATTTTGTTAATTATTGAATAGCATTTTAAAGTAAATATATAATTTGAATAATCAAAATTATTTAATTATAAATATAAAATTTAAAGCAATTTGATAAAATTAATTAACTTGATAATACTAAATAAATGTAGGACACTAGGACATACACGTGGTTTCGAAGAAAGACAGCATCTAACATAGACGCGTATCCATTGCTTGATGCAAAACACGTAGCATGTTTAAGTATAAAGAAATTCCATCACAATTATTATATAATATTTTTTCTAAAATTAATGGGTGCGAGAAAGGGACTTTTAGTTAAAATCTCTGATACTAAAAAAATTTAATATAATATTTAATAACTTAAAAAATAAAAAAATAAAAAATATATATATATATATGATCCTTTCAAATAATTTCATTTAAATTGTTTAATAGTAATAATAATTTAATGTTTAAATAGTTCATGATCCAGACTACAAATTTGATCTGGCCGGAAATTAATTTTGATAATTAAAGTTTTAAAAACTAAATATATATATATATATATATATATATATATATATTATTACAATATTTTTTATTGAGACTCGAGACTACATACTAACAATCTTTGTCGGTTAATCAATTTATTTTGTGATAAACTTTATATATTTTTTAGGACATGTTTGAACTACATTTTAATTTATTTTACTTTGATCTACTGACATTTAATTTTTAAAATTTTATATTTTATATTTAAAAAAACTATATATTAATAATAACATCCATGTTAATAATAATTCTGTATATTTTTTAAAAAAATCATCTAATAAATGCTAATATTTTGAATAATGGGATATTATGTTTATATTCATATTAATTTTTTTTAAAACATATAGTGTATATTATATGACTTTTTTAATCAATGCATAAAAACTTCTACCATGAGTATTCTCCCTTAAAATTGGAACAAGAAGAGGAGGAGCAACAACTAACAAATTACACCCAACTGTAAGTAATATAAGGTAAATTGACAAGTTAAAGTAGCATCACACTTACTATATTTTTAAAAATATATGAAAAATTTAGAGACATTACAGTTGTCATGTGAGACTTAATTTCTCTAATCAAAGAAACAACTAATAGGAATAAGAATTTGATATTCAATCAATTGAACAGAAACTTTCTAATGATCCATTTTCACAATGATTTCGTTCAACTTTAAACAACTTCATAGGAGGCTTCCAACAGGGAAAAAAAACTACTCTAGCATGGTTCAAAATTTTGTCTCAAAACCTTATCAGGATCATTATTATTGAAAATGAATTCCACAAAAGCCCAACAAACAAAACTAAGCAATAAATGCCAATTAATAGAAAACAGAGAAAAATTCTACTTAATATCAAACTTCAACCATTTATGCACGCCAAGTTTCAAAAAGCATTTGATCAGATTAGACCAAATATTTCTAACACTATCTGTCATTGGCTTTTGGAGGACTAACACTATAAGTCAACATACATACTCTTAGAAACACATCTTTTGATCTTATCCCAATTTCAATCACCCTTATAGAAAATTGTGGCATAAAATACATCATAGAACATAAAATATTTTTAAAATGAATGTATTTATTATTTAGTTTTTAATGTTCAATATACTATCCTTTATTTGTTTATTAGCAACGCAATAATTTATTATTTATCATTTAATTTTTTACAAGCTGAGTTGACAAAATAAACGGTAAATCAGTTGAAAGTGAATTTTTAGATGAAACTGCTTAATTAATTCATTAAATTTGGAGTATATTTTATAAATTTCGTTGTTTATATGTTTTATATATGATTGATATTTTTCTTTTATAGACAAATTTTAAAATTTTTTAATTAATTATGATTTTTAACAGTATTTTGGACTGGGTTTTTTTAACAAAATTAAAAGTTACTGAAAAATAATTTTGTTAACATATTGAAGATAAAGCTGGAGAAAATTACTAAGCAATAACAACGAGATAATCAATATTAATATAATTATCCAAACACATTAATTCAGAGATAATATCCGTTGAATTATATATATATATATATATATAAGTAAATACTATAATATACCATTTATTGTCATTCTTATATAAAAGTCTGGTTTCAAAAATCTAAATACTTTATTTCATAATAAGGCTTTGTTTGCATCAGCGATTAAAAATATAATAAAAAATAAAAAATGTTATTTAAATATATTAAAACAAAAAATAATGAAGTGATTTAAAAATAAATAATATAAAAGATTATTTTTTTTATATCACATCTCCTTTCTTGTCTTTTTTTTTCTAGAGTTGTGTGTGTGACCTGAAAAAGATACCTTTCTGCTTTCATTCTCTTTCCTTTTCCCATTAAATATGAATAGCAATTTTGGTTCCCGCCACATTCTTCCCTCCTTGGTTACCTACTCCCATGGAAGCATATTCTAATACCCTTGGTTAGCTACCTACCCCATTCAAACAGAGAGTAAAACTGAATATAATATGTGGTAATGGACCATCTTTCTACATCACTTCATACGGTATGGGAGCGTAGGTACATTAATTTCCAAGCATTCATTCAATTTCAAATTGCACCGACACTCCGTACCTTCCTAACCCCTGCTTCTCGATAAATTATTCACTAGTTTGCTTTCAGCCACTTGTATTTTTATGAGCGCTAAAAATACGTGTTGAAAATGCTTATTTGTTAAATTATTATCACTATTATGTGTGTCAAAAATATTTATATATTAGGTTATTATTAGTTAGATCTTTCATAGTTTTGAATCGTAATTTTTTAATAAAATTACTGTGTGATTTTATTCACATATTTTTATGCATGTCTATAATAGTTAAGCTTAATTATATTTTTTTATAAAGAATAAAAATTTTATGATAAGTTTTTATAATTTTTTTTGTTAAAGTTTATTCACTGAAAATTTGAGAAGTTAAAATTTAATTCTTATTATCAACTTTATTTTATTAAATGCATGTTAGCTTTCAGCCAGCTCAATATTTTTATATAGTATTAAGTAACATGTCATATCATTTATTATATTATTTTTTATTATTTAAAATTATATAATTACAAATAAATATCTAAATATATTTTAAATAACTGTATAAAAATTACTTTAACTTTTTTTCTTTCTTCTTCTTGCACCCCCTCTACTCTCCTTTCCAGTATTCCTTCCCCCTCTCCTTGTAGCACTCCATCTCTCAACCCCACCCCTTTCTTTTTGAACCTTTTCTCCATTTTTACCATGTATCCTTTTCCTTTTTCTTCCTACTAGCATAGTAGTAGTTATAAATGTAAAAACACTAAAACTTGGGGTGATTTTTTCTAACAAGCCTATGGTCATTTCCATGCTATTTGGCATGGACATGACATCACTATAAACTTTGACTG